ACAACACATAGATTTCCCGTACATTTGAGACATACTCTCGCGTTCGCTGTAATCATCAAAATTCATGCAAATCTCTCGTATTCTCTCTATTCTGTAGTTATTCCGCGAATCCATAGTATTGTATAAAATAGAGAAAAAAATTGTTTGCATACAAAAAAACTTGATATTTATATTTCATCTATATGCAGCTTTTTTGTAGTTCAAGAATATTCTTTAATAACTTTTGTATTGAATAGTTTGTATTTCGTATAGAAATCACAACTTTGCTTCTCTCGAAATAATTTAATTAAATAATTTAATTAATCTGTTTATTCGTGAATAGAGTGAAAAACTGAGAGCTAATTAATGAGACTCCGGCCGTATATGTGATAAAAATGTAATTTTTTATACAAATATCCACACAATCCGCTAAACCATGAAGTTATGGGTTGTCGACCCGCAAAGCTCTCTAAAGTAGCCGTTATAACCGACTCGAGTAATCAAATCGATTTCATTATATGTTTTTTAATAAATAATAAGTATTTGTTATATAAGTAATTAATTAGCTCTTTGTTTCAAAATTAGTCGCGAAATATCAAAACGGAAATAAAGTTTTCATACAAAATGTTAATAACAGTGACACGATTGAGGATTTGGATACTACTGAGATTGAAGTAAGTTTGAGTTATTAATTGATATTTTTTTTGTTTCACAATTAATTATATGTTATTTGACATAAGTTATATTTAGGTAATTTTCGTGAATGTTAATATGAATTTAATTATAAATTTAATGTCATTTTATTGCGATTAGTGAATAGTTTTACTATTTTTTGATTGTTATCTATTAAAATATTGTCGTGTAAATTAAATGTATACTATGTAGCATATAGATTTAAATTATTGGTATTGTTTTTAATAATAGTAATGTTTAAAATCTCAAGTGATATCTAATGATAATTTGTAATTTATAAAATATTCATTAGATATAGCTTTCATCAATCAGACAATGCGTTAATAGTTTTGTTTTAATTGCTTTTGGTTAATGAAATATTAATGAGAAGTGCATTTTGTTTATGAAAACAATGATTTGAATTAAACAAAGCCATTACTAGTAATTTACTAGTAGTAAACTAAATGAAAGTTTATTTTTAAATATATGAAATTATATATCGTTTGCGAAATTTAATGTTTATTTAATGATTTCTTTTTGAAAATTATAAATTTACTGAAATATCGTTGATTTGAGAGGAATATCACAGAATATTCTTTACATTTGTATGAAAAATCGATTTTTGACTTATTATTCGCTAAATGTTTACCATTAACTACATTTGAAATTAATTGCAATTTTATAACTATAATCATTTCGACATTTATTATAACATAAAATCGATGTCTAATTTGTTTAATGTCTTAAATTTAACCAGAATCTAGAAAACACTAATAACAGTGAAAATTCAAATAATGTATTGCGAACTAGTAGTAGACGGTATGTGTTTCTATCTATAATGGCATTTAATTGTCATATAATTAAATAATATTTTTCACGACCGAAGGGAGGCCTCAAGAATCGCGTGGAGAGACACTAAGGAGACGTCAAAGGAGGCCAAGAATGGTCGGCCCATCCGTAATATAAGCCCTGTATTCAAAAGCGTGCCCCCAATTGTATTGTGAGTTTAGTCTGACATTTGCGTTGAAATTAATTTGCTTGCAATCACTACTGAATTAATGGTAAACATAATGCACTCTTTAAGGGAGAGAAGCAAAAGTCAAATTGAATTCTTCAAGAAATTGGAGCAAAAAATGGATGAGGTTTTGAGCGATTGTTTCATTAGATTGGATGTGATTTAATATTTAAACATTTTTCGTGATTTTATTTGTTTTCTCCCAACCAAAGGGACTTGGTTTACATGAAACTCATAGTGAGAACACCTCCTCTGCCATACAAGTGAATAATGACACGAATGGATGAGTTCTGGATTTAAATGTCAGACCAATACTGAGAATTTGCTTAATAGTCGGAACATTGGTTTCAATGGGAATACCGTAATGAATGACTTAATGTATACCTATTAAGTGTTTTTT